ACTAGTAGTAGTAGAGAGTGAGTTTCCTTTAGTCCTTTTCATGGGAGGGAAGATCACTTTCTGCAGTACAAGATCTGGGAATAAGAGGCGTTTGTTTTTTTTTAAAAACTGAAAGTCAAACCATGGAAAGACGGTGAAATGGGAGTGACACCCTGAAACCTCCTTGACCATTCCCTTTCCCTTGAGGGAACAGAAAGACCAAAGGATTTTTCCTCTTAGTTGTCAGCTTGTGGAAACAGGCTATCCAAAGACATACTGGGGACTCCACTGCAGGTGTGGTTGCCATAAAACAGATGGGCTTCATGGATCTGTAGTTCACTCCATCTTGAGTATCTTTGTGCCTGCAATAAATTCTTCAAGGGCAGGCTGTAATCTCTGATGTGTGATACATATTGGCATTTATCTTGAAACATCTGCCGCCACACGTGCATGAAAGAACAGCAGCAGAAAGACAGCTGCTAGCATCATTTGAGACTAGAAACAAGCCGATGCGTGGGTGGAACCCTTGGGATGAGAGGACTGTAGGCAAGAGGTAGTTAAAGTTAATATCCTTCTTCCCTCAGCTGGGTTCCACCTCTTTGTTTGTGCTCAGTGTTTTGTTTTTAGGGCAACTTTCAAGTATTATAATATAAAATCAGCCAAAGCCTCATTATTTATTAGGTACAGTTATTTTGAGTTTTCAGTTCAGAGAATGTTCTGTGCAAAATTGACATGGCTCTGATGCTATGTTTAACAATGTCCTCATCTTCCCTTTCAAAGTTTCAGAATATTTAGGCCAGTGAAGTTTCTGTATGTTGTGGATATGATTCATTTGGGCCATGGGAGGAGGGTGACAGTTACTTGCTACACAAATCTTTCCTGTGATTCATGAAACACCATTTGTGTCAGCCTTGTAGGAGGCAGTTCATCTGCCTCCTTGGAGGAGGGGGGAAACACTGGCATCGCTGCTGTCAGATGGGCATGGCAAAAATGGTGGTTAGACAGAAGAAAGTAGCAGGAATGCTGGGGCTCTGTCTGCAATAGTTATTTATGTACTTAATGATAGACTGATCTGTATCAAGTGTAGATGGCTTTAAGGAGAACAGCACTGCTACAATAGCCAAAAATACAAAAGAATGTTGCTTTTTGTCATGTTTTAATTTTTTTCCTGACTTTGTGTAAAAATGTTTTTGTACTTTTCCTTCTGGTTGGCTAAAACAACTGTTGTTTCATATGGGAGAAGGCCCCTATTGATGAACTTTGTCTCAGCAAAACTTTTCAGTTTCTGCTGGTGGGAGCAGGGAGGCCAAATACAGTGATGTATGCTTGTTCTCGGCAGAGAGATTTTTTCACTTTACTGGACCAGTAAACAGCAGAGACGGTTTACCAAATTCTGTTAGCCTCCTCATAGGAAGGCATTTTCTTTGGCCCACCAAAAAGTTGAATAAAAACATGAAGTGTAACTTCCTTGCCAAAGTCAATGACCCAGATCATCCTAGCTAGATTTGCTCATGAAAGGAATACACCCTACAAAGGACCTCAATTTGGTATGGAAGATGGCTCAGCTGTTTCTGTGGCACTGTTCCAGACTCCATGGAGGTCACCCTCTCGGTCCAGGATCCACATAGAGTAGATGAAGACTGGGAGAGCTGGGGACCTCTTATTATTTATTATTATTAGTAGTAGTATTATTTAACTGGGGGGTATTATCTTTAATACAGAGCCTCACTATCCCAGCCATCCCACAATCAGCCTTGTCCCCACTTCACCCAAGGACCCAGAAGCATCCATGAGGAATCTGTAGTAGTACTGCTCTAATGGACCTCTAGTACGCCCCTGGAGACCTGCCTCAGGGTCTGTTGTGTGGGTCTGAACAAAACCTGCCTCCCCACTGATGGGAATGGTAGGTGAGGGACTCCATAAGTGTATTCCTTATGGAGGTTTCCAGCCTTCCCACCATCAACCAGGGGTAAGGAGGGGTTGAGTTGGGATAATGGTTTCAGTTGCTGCAGACCTAACAAAATTATCACTGAAAGTCAATATGACGATTCAGTATCTCAAAAGCCAGGATTTAGTCTCAGCTTCATGTATTACATGGAGGCGTTTCTACCAGCCTCAAGGCTGCATGATGTGCTGGAGTGGAAATAAGGAGGATTTTCTCATACAAGGGAATTATCTAGAGAAAAATGGCTACACAGTACTATTTGCAATGGTACTCCATAGCTAAACTCAGTCTTTCACATAGATGGCTGGGGGGGCTCAGCAGCTTTAAGGCAAACTACTACATGTTATACATATAGTTTCACCCAACCGTACCAATCAAAACTCATAAAACTATAGATACAACCAAAAAGAGGGATGTATAAGGGAAGGGAAAGGTGTTTACATATGGGGGTATGGGCGTGCTCTGCTTACACCACCGTGTCTCCCTGTTAAATGCATGTAGACTCACATGGTTCAAGAAACATTCTCTTCTTGGGGTTTTGCTTATTGACAAAACATAATAGTTAAACATCAACTCCAGCACTAATCTGCCAGCCCTTCCCCTCAGGTTTCAAGTATCAGGGGGTAGCCGTGTTAGTCTGTATCCACAAAAACAACAAGGAGTCTGGTGGCACCTTAAAGACTAACAGATTTATTTGGGCATAAGCTTTCATGGGTAAAAAACCCACTTCTTCAGATGCCCATGAAAGCTTATGCCCAAATAAATCTGTTAGTCTTTAAGGTGCCACCGGACTCCCCTTAAGTTTGACAGTTCCTGCCTAAACCCATCTCCTTCCTAAAACCTTTCTCAGGGGAGGCTTCTACTATTGCAGGTATATTCCTCCACCTCCCAGGTCCTTCTCCTGACTCAGAGCCTCCCCCCTTTGTCTGCTCAGGCTCCTTTTATTAGGAAGTGCCACCTGTGGGCTGCTGGCACATGATTGTTGGTCACCTGACTCAGATGCTGGTCAGAGCCTAGAAGTAGGATGTTAGGACATGGGCATGTGCCCAAGAACTAGCATGCCATTACGTGAGGTTGTGTGTAGTTTTAAGAAAACAACACTCTGGAATATATTAATTCAGCATTGTTTTGAAAGGGAGAGAGGGATGGATGACAGGGAAGGAAGATGAATCTCTCGCAGCCACCAGTACAAAGGGAGGATGACCTGCAACAGAAGACGTGATGGTTGAATTACTAGAAAATGGGTGGTGTTAGAATGCAAATAGCTGCCAGAACAAGAGAGGCCTCTAATATAAAGAGGGCTTTTGGAAGTCCTACAGGCCAGTGAGACCAACAAAGGACCAGACCCGCACCTAATGTGAATTGATGTAGCACCATTGAAGTCAGTGGGGCTATGGTGACTTACACCAGGTGAGGGTCTGACTCTTGTGGCCAATCCTCTACTTCACAGGCTTCCAATTCAGGGCAGCCACAATATGATCTGATTGCTCAAACCAGTTAGGCAACGTTTTTCTGCATTCTGCACAAGCTGCTAGTGATGTAGAAGCACAGCAAGGAAGAAGTTACAATAATTGAACCCCACGGTCACAGGGGCTGTGTTCCTGTTGCAGTGTTGTCATGGGATAAGTAAGGGCACAGCTGAAAAAAAAATTGCACAACTAGAGGAAACTATACACACTTTTGTACTGTATATGACAAGTGTCTCTCCCTGAAAGGTAATGGCTGAATAAGTGAGTTTAGAATGGAAAAGCAGAGACATAACTGAAGGTGGAAGAAGGTGTTAGGAGTGATGCAGAGGGGAGTAAAAATAGCTATGTCTAACTCAACACCTGTTCTGTATTCACTACATTTGAGTAGGCAATGACTACTAACTAGATTAAAGCACTGTTTGATGCACCCATATGGCTAAGTCTTCCATTATTTCCTGTGTTATAAAATGCTGACTCCATTTGGATTTTACAATACTAATGTTTATTTTGGGGGTGGGGGGAAAGAAAGGGGACTAATTATAGCTTTGAACTCCACTACAATGAGACAGGGTTTCTATTAAATATTTCTCAGGCAGTGTGATGAGTCATGAAATGCAACTTCTGCAGAAAATATCCTGATTGCCTAATGACTAGATGTTGGTAACTGAAATTACACTCTCTCTCTCTCTCACGAAACCCAGGAAGTGTCTGTCTCTGAGTAAGTTGTTTATTGAAGTTACCCAAGAAATGTAAAAGGGCTTATGATTGCAAAATAGGTAAAAAAAAAATAACTGAAATTTGAGGAACATAACAAACACCTGCTGTACGATACAGTGAAATAGTGTTACTGTATTTTCATTCACAACATAGGAAGTACTTTCCATATTTTAAAGATAATAATGTATCTTCCTTGTTAGGTAACAAAGGTCAAGCACTGATGAACTGTAAAGAAAGAAAAGCATTGAATCACCAGATGAAAGTAACAAAATAGAATACTTTTAGCACAAAACCTTTATAATAAGGATTGCCACAGCATAGTATGGTGCAGAGTTCATTAAACACTTGCTCCACTAACTTACAGTTCAAACACAATGTAATATCGGAGGGACATGAAATTCACTTTCTGTTATAGATTTTTAAGTTCATAAAGAACCATTATAATATCATCTGGTCTGATATTGTGATGCCACATGCCCTAGCTTTCATTTGGGTTCTGTCCTTGGCCCTACTTCATGAGTGCTCCAACAACTTATGGTTACCTAGAGCATGTTTTAGAAAGACGTCCAATAATTGAGAGTTTAGATAAATTGATCTCCATATGTTGGAAAGACTATCGACTTCTTAAATTCTGCAGTAGAAATGTTTTCTCCTGGAGTTTATAAACTATGAAGGTTTCACCCTGTAAGCTTGTAATTCAACTTTGGGAGGCTATATCTACCTTTCAGATAACATAATTTAAATTAATTGGGATTTGAGTAATGAAATGTTCAATGTATTTTAATAATTTATGTTTTAAAATGATTGCAGATGAATTCAGCTAACTCCTATCCAGTCATGTTCCCATTTGCATGGAGGAATGATGGATACCTATGTACTTTGTTTTGCAGATGATGTAGAGGAGGTTAACAGTATGGAAAGTGTGATGTTAGAATATGCTGCAATGGACAGAGAGCTAAACCATTATATGCAAGCAGTCGAAGCTACGGTACATCAGGTAAATGATCATTGCCATGCCAAATATTGATGAGGTTTTCTAAAACACTTTTAATTCTTACAAAATTACATTAAAAGAACATTTAGTCTTCAGAGTCAAAGGCTGCAAAGTTAGGAAATGCCAGAATCAAGGTTGCCCATGCAACCTTAATTCAGCTCCCTTTGCACATGCATTGTGATACAGTGTTTAATTACATGATCACATACTACTTTTTCCACAGGACTCCTATCTCCTTCAGTGCAGAGGATGGAAGGCACTCTGGGAATGAACCAGGGTTGTGTAGTTAATAAATAGTTTTATAAGAAATGTACCTCATTTGCTGCAGAAGGTAGATGATGATTAGTGAACAAAGCAGGTGACTGTGGGAATAAAAAAGACGATCCCCTGGTTCAGGCAGTTGAGTGCCACCTTTAGGAACTGCCCCATCACAAAGTGCTATCCCTGCCCCATCACAAAGTTCCTATGTGATGCTGAGCAAATTACTTTTTTAAAAACAAAAAAGCTAACCGGTAATCAGAAATTCCATGATCTTGAACCATGTTGACTCTGATGTGGATTCATCATCAAGGCTAGAACCTTCAAATCTGTAGCCCAGACCTCTGCCACTTGACCTAACAGAGTAAGTAATAGCAGTAGAAAGTTGTCATCTTCTGTGGAGCCAACCACTAGAGGGAGACGAGGCACACATTTTGCAGGGCTTTCACAGCTATTTGCTGACAGCAGAGGAATGTTGAGACTCTGTAATGTTAAATTCTATTTCAGGTTCTGGAGACAAGTATGCTGTAGTGGTTACAGCTCCTTTTGCACATGTCCCCTTCTTTTCCTGCCCCTTCCACTCTGTTCATGTTTGTGTCCTAGTCTCCCCTCCTCATTTTGCCCCCCTCAGCTTCCCATCCTGGTCCCCAAGTCCTCACCATCAGCACTTTGTTCCAGGCCCAGGCCCTGTCCTCTATCCCTGTTCAGTTCCTCATCTCAGACTCCCCCATCAGCTCTCTCCCAGCTCAGCTCTTCAACCTTCCTGGCAAGCTGATTGTTTTCATCAACTGCCTTGCCACCAGCAGGGGGAGCATTGAAAGCACAGAAGAGAGAATGTCCCTGCTTTCACTGTCTGTGACTGTCCCCAGAGCAGCCCCCCAGCTGCCAGGAGAAGCAATTGCAGGGAAAGCCCTGCTCTCAGCCCCTGTCCCATGCTCAGGAGAGTGTGGGAGTCTTCTGTGAATTTAGCTGCTAAGTCTCTACTGAGCATATGCAAACTGAGATTTTCAGGGGCTCATAACCTGGCCAGTTATGGGCAGATTTTCACAGAGAGCAAAAGACACATCCCTGCAACCATAGCGTTCTTCCTGCCAAATATCGCATCTCTTCTCTAAAGCACAGAAGCCCTAGAGCTTTGACAGGTGTTTTTTAAAAAAAAGTCACATGGGGAAAAAAGTCATCCTGAGCAGATGTCTTCAATCTAGGAGAAGAAGTGTAATATAGGTTACAGCCTCGCAGCAGAACAAAGTGATCAGGGGAGGACAGCAGGTGTTTTTTCTGTAGCTGTTCATGGGAAGTGGGAGTTTCTACAGCTCTACTCTTCCATCTATTACTTACTCTGCACCCATCAAGTGGGCTAATTTCAAAGCATGCAGGCGGCCTCCAAACTATACAGCATCTCTCCTGCCGACGTCTATGGCCAGCTGTCAATCTACCTTAGAAAGTGGGGCAGTTTCCCCTAAAATCTATGTAATAGTTAAGGTGAATGAGACACTGCTGCTATTTCTCCTTCATCCTTGCCAATGTTAGGGTGACTGTTATTGGAAGCAGAACAGACAGAACCACATGTTGAATCAGCCTCTGCTGGCCAGGCTCCCTGCTGACTTGGGAAAGGCCCAACAGAGGGTCCAACACTTTCCCAGGGACAAAGCACCAGGCTATTAATTTGTGCAGACAGAGGTTACCATTTTTCATTTATTAACAAAACTCAACTTGAATGTTAAAAAAAACACCTTTAATCAATCTGATTTTACCAAGTGTGTGTGTGTGTGTGAGTGTGAGAAATGGAAGAGCACAGTGATTCCAAACACATGATGCATTCTGTATGCCCTGCTTTCTTGTTATAAACCACACTTAAAAATGAGTGTCCATCAAGCAGTGTGAAAGCTTCAAGCTGATAGGATAGGGAGAGCTTGCCTGCTGCCTGCAGGCAGGATCTATTCTGCTGCAGTTATCTGGAGTTCAAACTCCTGATATTTCACCTTGCGTAACCCTTGCCAGTTGCACTTACCTGCCAGTATAAGACGACAGAAGCTCACAATGAAAATAACAAGGAAGTAGTATGAAGTATAGTTATAGGTTTCCAAAAGCCAAGTCTTTGTTGACTTAATCTGCAGTTGGAACAACACACAAGGTGAAACTTAGCCGCATCCTCTTCTGGTTGAATCAGCAGCCTGTTGAGTAAGAAATGAGCAAATGCAGTGCTGTTTCCAACAATAGACTGTGGGAAATCCTTTGTCCGTGGAAATTCCCTCTGACACTGAATTTAGCTCACCTGTGTAATGACTTGCCTTGTGCCACTTCTCCTTTTTTAACAAGAGTCTGTTTCCTGTAAAGTAAACACCGCCCAGGTTACTCTCCATGCAAAAGAAACCTAAACAGTAATGTCGTTTGTTTGTTTGTTTGTTTGTTTTCACTTAAAATAAAGTTAAAGGCCAGATTGTTCTGTTCTGGCCCCTTTATGCTCCCTAAGTGGAACAAAGGCTGGAAACAAAGCTGGACTGGCCAGCTGAGAATTTCTTGGAGAGCTTTTATTTGATAGAGAGAGAGTGTACCCAGCTCCTGTGACACCCCTTTGCCCCCTCTCAGCACTGTCATAGATTAGTGCTATGGGCAGGACAGGAGAGTGGCTGAAGTACTCGTCTCTTCATCTATGCCCTTCTGGTATATGGTTCATGAGGGGCTGTGTCCAGTTGGTGTAATTTAGAGCAGTCCCCAGACAATTCCAACCAAGGCATTTCTTAGGGTAGTGCAGATCTGCCCTGAGACTCAGGAAACCATAACCAGCTCCCTGATGGCTCTGCCCCTCAGACAATCTGGGCATTTATTGTGCCAGTGGAAGGAAGATATTACGGTCGGGCCAGTAGTGCTGCCTATACTTAAGGTTGCCCAACATTTCCCATTATAAGACTCTGTTTTCAGTTGCTTATAACTTTGCCAAACTTTAACCATTTGTCTCTCTTGTGATCTCACTGCAACTGTTGCTGAGCACAGGCAGCATGCAGGTGAAGGAAGAATCAGCTTGGCTGATGCAGAGTGGTGAAGAAGAGTGGAGGTGGGAATCTCCATCCCTTAGAGGTTTTTAAAGCCTGGCTTGACAAAGCCCTGGCTGAGATGATTTAGTTGGGATTGGTCCTGCTTTGAGCAGGGGATTGGACTAGATGACCTCCTGAGGGCTCTTCCAACCCTAATATTTTATGGGGTGCAGTCAGTAAGGTGGTTGTAGGAGCCAGAGACTGGGGAGGATTTGTGGGGGGGATGGCATTGTGAGGAGGAAAGGGGATGGGGAAGGATTGGGGAGATATATATGTTTAGAGGAAGAGGCAGTTGGATGGGGTGGTGGGCAGGACCCAGGAGGGTTGGGTAGGAGCTGAAGAGAGGTGGAGTGGCTGAGGAGCCATATAGGCACAGAGAAGGAAGAGGTTGGACAGGTGAAGATGGGGTAGAGGGCAAAGAAGCTGGATCAAGGTGATCAGAGCAGAAGGGGGGGGCATGATCTGGAGAGGGGGTTGGGAGGTTGGATCAGTTGCAGAAGTGGGAATATATGTAGTGAATGAGGCATGGGACTGTAGGAAGAGAGAAGATGGTGTTATGGTTAAGGCAGATGAATGCTCTGCTGGATAATTGGATTCTAGTCGTGCCTCTGCCATAGGGATGCCAAACAAGGCACTTAAAGCATATTGTTCACAGGTGATCACTAATTGTGTGTTCCTCTTTTTCTGAGTGCCCAAACTAAAGCCAGATTGGCCCAAATTCTGTAATTGAAGTCAATGGGAGCTATGTGTTCTTTCGTTTTTTGTCTTTTTTGAAGGGCAGTAAAAATAAGGAGTTCTCTGAAAAGACAGGCCCCAAGTGTCTCAATTTGGACACCCAAAATTAGTGGACAGTTTAGCTCTTAATCTCTCTGTGCCTGAGTTACCCAACTGTAAATGAGGGATAATCTGACATGGGTGTCATGAGAATCAATTAATTAATGTTTGTGAAGCACTCATATACTTTGGTGAAAACACTAGAGAAAAGCCCAGAGGAAATTCATAATTTTTTATTCACTGCAAGGTTTGGATAGTGTAAATTAAGCCACACAGTGAATAAGAAAAATAAAGAAATGTTGAATAGCTACACAATCACTGAATGAGCCTCCTTCACTACACATCCTGATTCATTCCCAGAGCAGGTCCATTTAGTGTACTGAAGGAAGGCCCCTTGGAAAAAGAGCATGTGACCACATAATTAAGAGACTGTATCATAATACATGTGTACAAAGGGGGCAAATTAAGGTTGCACAGGCAACCTTAATTCTGCATTTGCTAACTTTGGCGTGCTTGACTCTGCAACCTTAATGTTCTTTTAACATAGCTTTTTGGATGTAATTTAGAATGAATGATGTTCTGTGCTGACTGCTATCTCCAAACTATACTTTAAACAGTATTACAGTGTTACGGTTGTGTGCTCACTTCCCTACAAAAGCTGGGTTGAGGAGACATTTCAACACATTTTTAATATTTACTTCCCTTTTGTGTGTGTGTGTGTGTGTGTGTGTTTGTTTTGTGGTAAACAGCATGTAGAGGCTGCCATTATGTTTGTAACATAGTCAGGCATATTTTATGTGAATTAGTTAGCTCCTACCCAAATGGTTCACTTTTGTAATATGTTGGAGGCCATGTTTCATGCAATGCAATAGAAGCTGCATTTATCAAATAGTGTGTGTAAAGAAATACAAGAGCATTGTTCTTGCTGGATTTATG